TTCCAAGGACCAACCAGGGGCCCATCAAGGACCAACCAGGGGCCCATCAAGGACCAACCAGGGGCCCATCAAGGACCAACCAGGGGCCCATCAAGGAAAGTGGGGGAATGTTGAATGGCTAGTACTGTAGTTGTGTTTCTGCTGCTGAATACCAACATGGAGATATTGCTTCCCAGGTGTTCGTTAAGGTGATTGATTGATCTCACAGCGGAGCAATGTGCTCGTCACATCAGCTCAATCAGCAGTATTATAATGCAGGGTTATTGCACAGGGTATCCAGTTATCTATTGCTAGTTGGAATCCAGCGGATGCGTCCTCCAAAGGCCAGATTTGTGGGCTGATTACGTCATAGCATGGCGCCGAGGCCTGTTTGGCTTAGACTTAGACTCAGCTTTATTTCTCCCTTGAGATTACTCCTTCAGGGAGTTCTAGTTCCATCAGCTAAAGTAGAGTAAAGAGTTAAAGCAAGATGCCATTAAAAAAATAAAAACAGTCTAAAACAGAATAAAAAGTCGTAATTTCCATCTGCCAGCGTGCGGCGCCCCGGGAGCAGTGTGGGCTTCAGGGTCTTGCTCAGGGACCCAGAGGGAGGCTGTGGGGATCAAACTGAGTCCTTCAACATTCTCAGAGCACAGAGCAGAACGGCGTTGGTTTATGGAGACGCTGCAGAACGTCTGGTTGGAACCAAAGGTCTGCTGTTGTGAGGAAAGCTCATAGTGACAGAGGTTCCTGCAGGCCAGGCTGCTTTACCAACAGATGATGTCCTGAATGTCTCTGTCCTCCGTCTGTCCCAGGTGTCCTGCCTCAGCCACATCGCAGCCAACTATCTGAACGCAGGGAAGGAGGCCCGACGCTGGGGGACGGCTCATGAGAGCATCGTTCCGTACCAGGTGAGGCCGCACCTATCCTTCTCTCAGAGGTATTCACACCCCCTCCCCCGACGCCCTGAGCTGCCTGCCTTCTTCTGCAGCTTCTACCTGATTCTATGGAGTCACTTTTATTCCAGTATTGTTCCAAAGAATCAATGAAACTTTGATAATCAAATCATTTGTTTTTCAGAGAAACTTTCCTGTTTTCTTGGATTTTACTTTTCAAATCATTATTTTTTTAAACTTTATTTTCTCACTTTTTTTTAAAACGATTTTATATTTTTAAATTTATTTTCAAAATGATGAGATTGAGTTTTAAGAAATGATTCTTCTCAGATTGCGTTGCACGGATCGCGTTCACTTCCAGCCCAATCCAAACGCTCGCTCTCCACCAGGGAAGCTGAGCAACTTCTGAGAAGCAGAGAAACTATATACCTTGTTTGGTTGTGGGAACCCAGAGCCAGCAGGTCTCTGGAGACCCTGAGGGTTCTGCTCCAAACAGATCAGCGGCTCTGAAATATCTTCAACCATTAACTGTTTAATGCTATTTTATGCACTTTGGAAAACTCGGAGCGGTTCTGAACGGGTTCATTATTCTGATGTTAGTCAGGACTGTAGCAGCTGCCTGCTCCAGAGACCAGTACGGACTGGGACCTGACCTGCTGGGACGGTTCAGGTTTTAGACTTTAGAGGACATTTAGATCAGTTCAAAGCTGCAGATCATCTCCAGCTGAGGTGGGAAGAAGTGGCCCTAAGTTCTCGGTAACCTTCAGCAGGAGCCATGAAAGCTCCTCTGATGAATGTGGACAGTCTGATAAAGAAGACGGCTGAAAATGAAAGCAGGTGTCACAATGTGGGGCTTCACACCTTGAGGTGGTTCAGAGGAACGTTTAGAAGGTTTCTCTGTGATCTGCTGTAAATGAAACCTTTAGATCTAAGGATTGTTCTGCTCCTCCAGAGTCTGGTCCTCATTATGGAGCCTGAGGGAGATGTTCCACTTCATGACTCTCAGAAGATAAGCTGTCAGCTCCTCCTCGTGTTTCTGTCTTCTGTGATCCCAGCACCAGCAACATTTTTGTGGTCTTCATCTCCACCAGCTTCAGCGTCCGACTCTCAGATCTAAACCCAGTGTGAACCTCCTTTCCCACAATGCACTGGGCCCTCCGTCGCTTCCTCAGCCTCCAGGCTGCGGAGATGAAAGCAGAGTGGAGGGTTCAGAGATGGCAGCAGTCTAAACATCACAGTTAGAGGTTCTGTGGGTTTGGAAAGGAGAACTTTTGAGGTTTTTCACATCTTGATCCTGCAGAAGTGAGACGTCCACCGTGTCACAAAAGAGACACATGAGAGACTTGGTGCATTTAGGGACAGAAACCCGAGGTTTGAAGACCAGGTGAGAAGAACATCTTCTGTATTTCAGCTGATGTTTGACGCCAACAGCAGGAAGCAACGCATGCTAGTGACTAGAGATGCTAGTGACTAGAGATGCTAATGACTAGAGGTGCTAGTGACTAGAGGTGCTAGTGACTAGAGGTGCTAATGACTAGAGGTGCTAGTGACTAGAGGTGCTAGTGACTAGAGGTGCTAA